GGGCTGATGCTGCCATATTGAAAGGAGGAAGCAGCCGGCTCCTGACGCAGGCTGGCTGAGCCCCGGGGGACGCGGCGCGCTGCCTCTCCCGGGGGCGCTCCGTCGGCCGGAGCCTGCGTGCATCTCAAGTTCGGTGAATAAGCGTGGAGGGATTTTTTTTTTTTTTTTTTTTTAANTTTTTTTTTTAAACCGTGCGGGAACGGATTTCAATTTCAGAGCGGACGACAGCAAGAACAAGCTCTACCCAGCTGCAGCGGCTCGGTTCAGCGTCGCTGCGCCCAGCCCAAACAATAAATAATGCAAGCGTGCTCGCTCCCAGCCCGCAGGCGGGGGAGCTGGAGGAGCTCCCGCGCTTCGCCACAGGGCTCAGGAGAGTGCAACCTGGGGCTCGCTTGGGAGATCGCGCTTTCGTCCCGTCCGTCCCCTTGGGCCCCCAAAAGTTTCTTGAAAGTGCAAACTCTTACCTGACCCAGAAGGTCGTAGCCCAGCTCCTCGGCTATGGCCGAGGCTGCCTCGGGTCCCCCAGGGATCTCCGCCGCCCATTCGTTCACGAACTGCCTCGTCGCTTTGACACTGTTCGATGCACACCAAGCGCAAAAGAGAGCGAAAGCGGCGCACTGCAGAGTCCAGGCTCCTCGCTGCATGGCTCACACACACACGCTCGCACAGAAGTGGGAAGCGGGGGGCGGAAAGAAGCGAGACAGGAGCAAAGCCAGAAAGATTCGCTCTTTCCACCCTCGGGCTCTGGACCGCTTCTCCCCCCCGGTTGCTCTGCGAGGAGATAGGAGGGACTCGAGGGGAGGCTGGGCGGCGGCGAGCGCCTAGTGCAGCTCCTTGGTCTCCCGGCTGAGCGGAGCCCCAGCCCTTCCCAGCTGGAATGGAAATGAGTGTTTACGCGTCAAATCTACGAAAGCCATCTCTTGACGTCAGATCTACCTGGACTAAGATCTGGATGGTATTCCTGGCGGGGTGGAGAAGCGGCTAAAATAAGCAGGGAGAGATTAATAAAAGGAAGGAACCGTTCGCTGGGATCAGTTAACTCTGTCCCTGTCTGATCCTAAATTCTGCAGCGGTGAGGAACACCTTCACTTCTGAAAGAGAAGTGCCCCGTTGGAATAGAACTACCCAGAACCGAAGGCTGAGACTGCAGCACACTTTCCCTCCATTCTGTCCGTTTTCTTTACGTTTATTTGATTA